GAAACTTTGCCAGGTGAAAGGGTCTACCCCAAAACTAAAAAAGACAAACTGGTGTCTGTTTTGGTTTTTTCCGGGGGGATATAGACCACCCCTCCGGTTTTTCTTGATCCTTAATTAATGTCCACAAGTATCAGTATCAAGTATCAAGTATCAAGTATCAGTCAATTTGATTGACGGCTTGTCAATCAACAGAGGCAAATAAACGACTGAGTTTTTAGACTTTCGATTCATCCAAATATTTGACAACTTTGAAAAGTGAGATGCAAAGATCTTTATGTTTTTTTTAGCTTAATAGCAGCTGTACCCTCTCCTGCAGTCTTCGTCTAAATTTGCAAGGTCGCTCCTTATCTTCTGCCTTGTTAGAGGCGGTTGCCTTACTAGTTTCCTCCCCTGTCCAGCTCATGTCAAGGAGATAATTCTTTGCTTTCTGAGAAAAGGTGGCTGGTTTTTGTGTTTTCCAAAGAGCCCATGCAAAGTCCATTTAGCTAGTTAGGGATGTTTCGTCAGAAGTTTACCTGAGGTCCGACCTTGAACGTAGCCACCCCCTTTAAAATGGCAAGCCGGTCTTCGTCCATTTTCTCTTGATCTTATCATAGGCGGATTTTTTGTCAGCTTCACTGTGTTTGCCTTTGTTAGGGTGCTTTTGGATGGCAGCCAATGACTGAAACGTCTTGATACATCCTTCCTCTTAGCAAGAATATCTCGCTTTCTTGTTCTGTCTGTGACGGATTGGATATAGTTCTCGCGATGACCCGCGTTCAGGGATCTGTGCACGTTGCTGATAACCACCCACTTCTACGATTAGTTTGCTGAAGGTTTCTAATGTGATGAGCCTAGTGAGACCCTGAGGTGCTCCAAACTGTGCCAGTTGGTCTGCGCTATAAACTTGTCGCAGTTCTAAAGTCAGAGGGAGGATCGCCCACCTCTATTTATGTGAGCGTCTCTACAGTACCTGCGTATCCCTAGCAATCATATGATATAAAGTTCATTTCAGTCACAAATCATTAGTTAGGAAAACTGATGTTCAGATAAGCGCTCTTCTTGTCCTTCTTCCTTATTCATTGCTGACTCTAAGATAGCAGTTACAGTACGCGTTCTATTAGGTTTACAGTCACCTTGCCACCAGGAAGACTCGCCACCAGCTTTGATTTCTTCTGCCATCTTCAGATTCACCTCTCTCTCAACTTTACGTCTCTGATTTTTATGACGAGGATACTGGCATTTACAAACCCGAAGGTCTGAATCTCATACCAAGTTGTGCACGATATTTGAGGCATATCGTGAAATCGCGGCCTTCGTAATCTCCAAATAAGCCAATACGCGCTAGAATAAGCTTCTTCTCAGACGAAACGCATGTTTGGGATACATTGACGTCTCTCAAATGTTTTTTTTTTTATGCTGTACACCCACGAGTTTAGAGGTGTGAGCTGTTGCCGTCCCTGGCCAGCGCGAGAATTGAGAGCTTTTTAGACACTCGATTTCTTATACGGCATCACTATGAAGACGTAATACAACTGATACACCTACACTACATAGGATTAACAATGTCTGTTGCGCTGTTGCGAGAGGGAGGAAAATATTACCGGCAGTGTAAATTCTTTAAGAGTTTCAGAGACTTTTCAGAGATGTCTATCTTCGGCTGTCACAAAAAATTGACCCTCTCTTAAATTTATTGGGAAAAATGAACTTACAAACTCCTTACAAACAATTTCACTTTTTCCTCGGGCTGTTATAAAACAGGTCATAAATTGACCAGTGAATAAAATATTTTGAAATATCGTTCGGAATTTGCCTTTTTTTGCGTGCAAATCAAGGGTAGACAAAGTTTATAAAACATTTGACAAGAATTTCATGGGGTTCACCTCGATAATTTTCGTCGGCCAGAGTCAAGACGCACCAAGCTAAGTGACATCGCCCTCCAGTAAAATAATTTTCCAAAGAATAAATGTGGCGAGCGTGGGGAAACGCACATTTTTTTTTCATTATTGTGATCAAAGCCCAATGATGTACCTAAATTGGTACTTACGGTATCAAACCATTGATTATGACAGGGTGAGCTTAATTTTTCTGTCGAGGTCGACGTGACTTCACATTAAAAGCGTTTTTGAAACAAACTAGTGAGCATCACCGCACGAACTGAGAAAGTAAAAACTTGTATTTATCTCTCACGCATTTCGTCTGACAATAGTAGACTTCATCAAGGAGTTTTACAAGTAGGGTAAATAAGCTCTCTCATATACAAATAGTAAATAAGTTGTCTCTCTACTATTGAAGCCAGTGGATATAATTCGCCAGGTGCGCCTACCGTGTTATACATGCGTGACATTTTTCGGACGTTACATGTACGAGTACGTAATCTGTTTGAGGGTCACAGATTTAATGTAAATATTTGACCCCTCGACATCACGTAATGTCTCTAGTTTACAGAGGTCTTAGAAAGCTTCATTACTTGGATTTGCCTTCTGCGCGTAGAGGGCTACAAGCGAATTTCTCGGGTGTAATTGCTTTTGATTTCTCAACTGATGTTGTCGCAAACACAGCTTTTGGGAGTCACGAAACAAAAAAACTTATCGGGACCTAGTTTCATGTACTAATGGAAGTAAATGGCAAATAAAAACATATTCTCTTGAGAAATAAAGTTATAAATAACAGGGGTTCTTTGAAACAAATAGTGATAGAAAAGGTTTCAGTTCTGGTCAATATTGACTTTTCATAGCCTACTTCCAAATCTGAGGGAACGCGCCGAGGGAATAAAAAAAAACATACATGTGTGATAATGCAAGGAGGAGAATAAAAATACAAATAAAGAAAAAGGAGAAAATATAGAAACCCGTGTTGCAGCGCGCAGATATCTTTTGAGCCAGACCTACACACTTATGCCCGACACCACGCAAAGAAACTTGAAAGAGTGCTGTATATGAACTTGCTCGCACGTGCACGCAGGAAAGGCCATGACAATCAGCGAAAATAATGGCAAATGCAGATGATATTTGCAGTCAAAAAACAGGCAAATAAGATGACAGAAGGATAAAGAACTTTCTGGAGGTGTCTTCTTAAAAAAAAAAAAAAAAAAAAAAAAAACAATTTTTACTTCTCATGAAAGGTCACGCAGTCACGCTACAAATACTATTTCTACGTGGAATTTCTTGATGGTGGAAAGTGGAAAAACCATTTTCCAGTCTTATTTTCTGGAAACATGGCGCAGTTAATGAATTTTATGGGGCTATTGATATTTCCTATCAAATAAGGGGGCAGAGTTTCCCGTCATCCGCGTTCTGGAAAAGCCGAAGTTGTTACACTCGGGAACTTGTACGTCAACAAGCACGCGACATGTGAATTTAAAATCTCCTCCTGTTACAGTTTCCTTATTGTGAACTGTGCGATAATGATAATAAACAATCAAGTTGTAGACTAATGAATGTTTTGGTTTTGTACAAGTGCCCTATTTCCTGATTTTAGCAAACGCTACGATTTTCCCATCGATTTTTCAATTAAAAACACGTCGACAGAGCTGGTATCTTTGTAAACAGCGATTTGTTTATTTAGCACTCGAGAAAAATCAACTCAAAAACTTTACCTGAAACGGTGGTTTGTTCATTTAACTATGAAGGTAGGTTAATTTTTAAGTTAAAATTGATATATTTAAATGAATCAAAACTGAAGTAGAGACCAAACACGTCGAGTTTTGTCCCAATAGCGTGCGATTTGCAGTAGGAGTACAGCAAGAAAATGGCCTTATTCCATGAAAATGCACGCTATATATTTTGGTCTGGCGCGCTCGCTTTTCACGGGCCAAAAATAATATTTTTACATGATAAACACGAAGAATTCCTCGTTGAAAAGAGCTCTTCTATTTTATGTACATTCGTGTACCCTCGATGTTATAGTCGTCTGAAGTAAAGCAAAATTCAGCGTACAAACGGAATAGAAAATATAGTGTACTTTACGCGGGTGGTTACAAACGAAAGAAAGTTGAGTTGGAGATGAAATATAGTTGCAAAGCTACTCCAAGGGATGAAAAACAACTTATGAAAAAGTAAATCCAAGATAATTTTTCGTTGTCTTGTACGAGCATTGTGAAAATGCACTGGAAGCCCAATAGAAATTATGCAAATTAGTTACGTTTTGGCCGATTTCGAACTTTCGTATTTTTTTCCAAAATAAAAACTCGCTGGAACTTTTGAATATTATTTTTGAAAACGATTCACCAAATGAAAAAAAAAGTTGAATTTTTGCTTCTGTCGCCGGATTCTCGTGACAACCTTTTAAGAACCAGGAGATCAAATGATAAGAATTTCAAAAAAAATCGTTGACACGCCCTTTTTGCTTCTGTCGCCGGATACCTGCCACCGCCTACGATTGAATAAAAACAATAATACACCATAGAACAAGGCAATTTGTGCCTTAGGGTGTAGGGGCAGGTATTGTCTAGGCGTGTTGGTAGAAGAGGATGAAGAGGGTGGTTTAAGTCCTTCATTTTGTACATATACTCTTTACATATATTATCTCTTCTATACGCAAGAGTCTTCACCCGTGCTAACTCGAGGGCATCTGAGTAGCTATCAGCAGACGGGAAAATTATCTTAAGCGCCCTTTACTGTATGGATTCAATTTTGTCAGACAGATAACCTGGAATGGATTGCCACACCGGCACGGCGTACTCCAGAAGAGATCTAACAGAGCTTGTATATACCTTTAACATGCTAGCTTGGTCAACGCCGGCTCGACGTAGAATACGTAGAGAGTAAAGCTTCTTGCAAGCTCTTTTAGATATGTAGTCAAAATGACTATAGATACTCCTAGAATCTTGTAAGTCGATACACGTTCCATTTGATCACACGAACCTATAATTATCTAATTATCGAAGCCAAAAAGTCATCTTTAACCTCGTGGCTGAAAAACTTGTCTGAACAAGCTGCGACTTCTCACGAGAGTCGGCTAGAGAATTTAGCAAGACATCATTTGTAGCTAACACTTGTTTGACACTGAAAACACCAAATAATGCAAAGTTACATAGTTGAATTCAGTCAGATATCGAGAAATGGTGGAAGTCCAGCATTAAGGCCCTGATTAAAGTATTAAGGATTGGTCCAATTTGAAAGACATGATTTTCAAATCTTTCACTGAGATAAGTACGGATCAGTGAATAACTGCAAGTAACGTAAACATATAGGTGACTTAACCCCCAAAAATTGTACTTGCATGCCAAACATTTGGTTGAGCTTTGCAACAAGGGAACAATTCTTTGAATTTTCCTCTTAGTTTGCTAATTGATCCTGTGTGGGCCTACTTTTCTCTTAATTTTTATTTGAACAACACAGACACAAGTCCTAGAGCTCTGTCATGATACCAGTGTTCTGTTTAATTGGCTGTTAGTGTAGAATGAATTGTGATACACCAGTCTGTTGTCTCGAGTGGCTTCTCTTCCTGAATCGTCAAATTACCCAACTTTGTCGTTGTTCAAATATAATCCAAATCCTCTCTACTTCTAGACTTTCCATGGTGTAAGATTACTGGTTATGAGTGTATATTCATGTTTTTCTTATGCTCTACAGTGTTAAGATTTAAACCAAGTCCTCTCTCTTTGCTGGGGTTTGGGAAAGTAAGCCATAAACTGGATTGATGAAAACAGGAACTGAACCATGCCGCCATAAAACTGATATGCCATACTAGCTTACCCAGGACAGCAATTGATCTAGACTTACAAGCCTTCCAAAAATTAGAGGAGGATGATGCATGATCCAAGTTATTTTGTGTAACTACAAATTTGTTGGAATCTTTGCCAAAATCCCTGAAGCAAAAGATTTATAAGACCAAATCCACTGATCCACCAACAATCACCAACCTATTTATCATTATTTTAATTTAAATATGTGACAAAGCCTAGAAAGTAACTTTATTGTCCACCATGTCATTCACTCATCTAGTTATTTCTAACAAGAAATGATTAAAGATCAGTGATTCATTATCTATGCTAAGATGAAAAAAGAAAAGGTATACATATATTTTACATATTTCATATATGTTTTCAAATTGCAACTATATAATTATATTATTATATGTAGATATACATATAAACTTTTTTTAATTTTTGACTTGTATGTTCCACTTGGCAACTTAGCTTAATATTGGCTCTGAAATTGTATTCCCCTTCACAAGTGTTGTAGAAGATTAAGACTTAACTTGGTTACAACTCCTCTAGCTAAGATCCAAAATGGCTTTGGGCTTGAGATTACTCACTGAGGGTGATGAGAGGTTTTTATAGCTAGTTTCCAGGAAATGTTGACATTGTATTGGACAAAGGGTATATGCAGAGAAAAAGTTTTGTTTAGTGACATGTTAGGAGCCTTGTAGGAAGGGAAGAATGTCAAATTTTGGGTTAAGTGTGCCCTTCTCCTAAAGTCTCAAAGTGATTTTATAGCTTCATTCAGTGTTCAGTCTTCTTTGATGAATGTATATTTATTATTTAACTTTTCTGAACATTTAACCAACAATGTGAGTAGTGGGTCACATGTACTGATGAAATTGATTTGTTTGTATCAAGGTAATACAACTGAACCTGACAGGAGTGACTCACCGCAAACACACTACTCAGGTAAAGAGTGTGAGTGAAATAAATGTAATGCAGTCTCAGATCAGGGAAGTTATAAATTATAAAAGAAGTGAAAAAAGAAGAAAAAGAAAAACTGGCTTGAGCTTAACAATCTATCTCACTTGTTTTAACTTCAGGCCTACCATAATATATCAGTCCCTTACAATTTGAAACATTTTTTTGTATGCTGATTTCAAAAATCATCAATGTTTTGAGTTCTGTTTAGACACACTTTTCCAGGAATGGAAAGACCTTCAGTAAAATTCCAGTCGGGTCTAAAGTCACTCACCAATGGCTGGTGATTTTAAACCTGATAAAAGATTGTTGCTTATTTATGAAATATTACACAAGTACTATTTGGAAAAACCTTGAGTCTATTCATGTGACATTCAACTTAAAAGATTTCAACATTCAAACACATATTTGCTAGAAACATGGACATAACTGATCTCAAACTGATGAAAAGTAACTCTGAAATTTAAGGCTTATTTTCATTCATGAGACAAGTCTTTTTCAGTACTCCTTCCCCTTTCTTTCTGTCCATGTGATCTCATGTTTCCCCTGTTTTCTAGTGTTTCCACATCAGACAATTCCTTGCTTACTTTTTCGACCCCCACAAATAGAAAAGCAGCTTGAGAGGTTCAAGATTGAGTTAGTTTTAAAGCAAATCTAAAGGATATGAAGACGAATTTTTTTAGATGTAGAGAAAAAAAATACATTTTCTTACGTGACTGTTTTGACAGCTTGTGGTCCAACCCACAAGACTGGGAGATCTGTCCAGGATGGTCTCCCCAGCACAAGCACAAGCGCAAGAGGATCAGAAGATGATATGCCTCCAAATGGCAGCAATTCTTTATTAAGTAAAAGTGAACCAGGTAAAATGTTTGAAAAATACACCCACCACTATCTAATGATGTATTAGCTCAAGGTTGTCAACCAATGAATTACCGTCTAACAACAGCTGCTCTTTACGTGACTTTATATCGTAAAACTTTGGATACCTCCCTACTGAAAGTGTGAAAAAACATCATGTCAACTTTGGAGAAAAGGAAGGAATGATTAATTAAAGTTTACCTCTCCTAATGCTGCAAGAGCAATATGGCCTATGCAGCACTATCCTAAATGGTTAAGTTGAATACATTTATGTATCATATCTAGTTTTCAACATCAAGTGGGAGAATTGTACTCGGTCAGGAGAAATACTTTCAGTAGGTTACATGGTTGTTATTTTTCAAGGCGTGTATCTGTTGATCACAACAACCTTTGACTTGGGTTTTCTAGTCTTAGGGAAAACGTCTTCAGAATTAATAGTTTTGCGTCGCCTATTTGCGACTGCGGTGTTGACTCTGAATCAGTGAAACATTGTTCCTTGTATTGCCCAAGGTATGCCGCTCAATATAATGTCCTCCTTACCTCTGCTGCTAGTAACATGACACATGGTCTTCGAGCGGCGATGCAAGGAAACTAAACTTTTTAATGTTAGGTGTCGAGTCTGTAAATTACGATGTCAATTGTGCTTTTTTTCCGCGAAGTTCAAATTTTATAATTAATACTAATCACTTTTCAATGGCCATTGTTTGATTGTTTAAATAATATATCCCTAGCTATGTAGGTTTAACTCATTGTTATTACAATCTGTGGGTGTTGTCTGTGTGTGTATTCGTGTGAGCCTGTATATATTAAATTAAAGTTTATATACCCCCCCTAAGCAAGCCTAAAAAAATGGTTGTGTTCATTAGTGGTGGTTACGAATGTTTTTTCCCCCATTAACAACAAAGAGGGCAACCTGTTCTGACAAGCTTCATTTCTTTCCTTTTTATAGATGAATGTAACATAGTGGAGGATGAGAGGCCAGGCGTTGAGGCTAACAAGAAGATCAACAAAGAGAGCAGTGGAATGAATCAGATGGATAATGCCGCAGCAGACCTAAAAAGTGCCAACGATAATGATTCAAATGCAGATCAGGCTAAAGTGACTGCCACTGGGCGATCTTTTAAAGTCGCAGACGTTCCAATTAAAGTGAAGAGTAAAATCTGCCTTAAACTTAATGTAGAAGATAATTATAATTTTAAAGATTATCGCTTACTTGGAGAGAAAATGGGAATTGATCAAGATGTAATAAAAAATTTAAAACGGTCAGCAAATCCTACCCATGATCTTCTTGACCAGTGGTCTGTTAAACGTGAGGCAACTGTAGAGAAGCTCATAGAGTTTCTTAGAGAGGATGATATGGATAGGGATGATGTTGCAACCATTCTTGAAGACTGGTTGAAAAAAGAGATTTCGAATACTTGAGGTATTGACAATTTTTATTATTTTTGCTTAGGGGTTTTTGTTTTTCTCTAAGAAAAAGCTATGTTCATTTAATAGTGTTTTACATTACGTTAAAATAGATATTAAAATCCTTTTTGTTTTTATTTGTCAATGTCTGGTTATGTTATTTTTAATCTAGTCCTTTAGAACTAAAACCGACTTGATTACTGTGACTGAGCTCTTTGCTAGTTTCCGTTGCTCCCCCCTGGAGTCGTTTTCCCCCGTTCTGATATCCCACTGTGATTAAATTTCTTTTGGTTTCAGGACACGAAATTCGAAATTACTCATTTTGCCTCTAGCATATATAATATTTGCCTTCTCAAGATCTTCAGCTTTAAAGTTTGTTCGCAAATATTTGCAAATCTTTTGCGTATCAAGCGATTGAAGGGCCCTGAGAGCGAAAAAGTTTTCCGTGGAGAAAACATTTTGCCTGCATTCCATCAAAGTTGCACCAAGAGAAATTAATGGGACAGAAGGGGAAAATTGGGGCGTTGGCCGTGATATGTGAATTTCACCTAAGTTACGTTAGCTTGGGGTGGAGAGCATTGTGGTTTCCTAATGTAGTTTCTTGTTGTCGAAGTTAATTTGTTTTTTAGCATAACCATTCTCGTCGCTTTTTCTCAATACATCAATCTTAAAGGCGACTATGGCTCACTGAAAGAGAACGGATTTTCCGCGAGCAAAAGGACGTATGCAGAACGATAAGCAAATGCATGACATGTGCAAGTAAACAGTTACACAACATTTGTTTCGCACGAAACGTGACTCTCGTCTTGCAGCGAAACTTACTATCGCGTGTCTTATCAATGTAAACGTTAGCTCCCTGGTTATTAGAAGAAAAGAAAACGGGCGACTTCGTTTATGTCTCACCTTAAAGACCTGAATAAAGTGATCAAAAGAGAACATCATCCTATACCCGCTTTAAAGGAAATTACACCCAAATTAGCAGCAGCGAGGCTCTTTAGCAAGCTCGATGCTCGCAATGGCTATTAGAGTGTCAAATTAGATAAGGAATCTTCATACCTAACAAGTTTTTAATACACCATTTGGTTGATACCGTTTCCTTAGGATGTCGTTTGGCTTACGAATGAGCCAAGATATCTTTCAATTAAAGATTGACGAGATATATCGTGATTGCCAGGGAGCCATTGGCATTGCAGATGACGTTACAGTCTACGGATAGAATGACAAAGAGCACGACATACACCTACATTATACCATGGAACGTACCAGAATAGCTGGCATCAAGCTCAATGACAAGAAGTGCGTTATCAAAACAAAGGAGTGTAATTTCTTTGATATGCTTTACACACCAGTCGGTGTCAAGCCCAGCCCAGACAAAGTCAGAGCCATAGAAAATCTAGAACCACCCAAAGACAAGAAGGAGCTTCACACTTTTTTAGGGATGACAACCATCAAAGAGAAAGTGAAGTCATTGATATGTATCACAACGATCCTGACGTACAATGACAGAAACGAACCAGTTGCCCTTCACGTTGACGCATCAATTAAGGGCTTGGGCGCAGCTCTGTTCCAAAACAAAAAGCCAATAGCCTTTGCATCGAATGCACTTACCCTCTGCAAGCACCTCCACGTCTTCTAAGAATGATGTGGCGTCTACAACCCTATGACTACGATACTAAATATCTTCCAGGAAGAGAAATGGTCACAGCTGACACCCTGTCACGCCTTTCATCGTTGGATGAATTTGAAGTACCAGACATGGATGTGAAAATTCACCACCTAATTAGAATCACCCCAGCTAAAATGGAAGACTTCAAAGAAGAAACAGAACCAAGAAGTTAGAAATTGGCTCAAAGCGAGACAAGATAACCAGTGCTACAATTACGACAGGTACACTAAGGAACTCCCTGAACTACACGGGAACCAAGCCATCTATGTACAAGATCCCGAGAGAAAGCCGTGGAATCCTGGTAGAGTCGTAGATCAGGGAGATACGCCCCGCTCATATATTATAGAAACTGAAACTGGTACGCAGTTACGAAGAAATAAGATCCATCTTAGACCAAACAATACTTCCAACAACCTAGCAAACAACTTGTCGAGTTGCATTCCTCAATGAAGTATAAGGAAGTATAACCTAACAATCCTCATGTATACAAGATATTTATACCTTAGACATTGGCTCGAATATATATGTTTTTGTTTTTGCTTGTTTCCGTTTTAATTAACATAATTTTAAGAGAAGGGGATGTAACATATAAGCGGGTTATGATTAGCACCTATTGTAAGTTATACCTTGTGTACGCATATTTGAGTAAGCAGGCACATTATGCAAATACAGACAGAGTGCACACACGCGGTGTGCAAGAGTTGGATGCAATAGAGTCTTCGACGATATATAAATCGCACAAGCTATCAGTTCCTGATACAGAACTACTTGGGGCTGGAGATACAAAACTTTACGTAGTTGGCTGTGTTGATAAGACCTCAAGTCATAGGCACACCCACGTCAAAGGAAAAATACATGTTGTCAGAGGGACCCCTGAACTACTCCATGGTATTCCTGACATCCACAGTTTAGGCCTCATTCATGAATTTCCTAGAACATACACCATAAGAGCTGAAACGATTTTTGCCTCACATCGTCTCGACGATTTCAGTAGCCTTTTCTCGGGATGGTAGAGAAGGAGATCACGTGTTTGGCACTCCTTGTTGCCAAAGAGCATGTTGAGGAACCAACTGAACAGTTATCACCAATTTGTGTTGTTCCCAAACCAAACGGAGACATTTGAATGAGTGTAGATTTGACAAAGTTGAACCAAGCTATTGAAAGAGAGCTGCATCAAATATCAACCATGGAAAGCACGCTTGAACTACGGAGGTAAGCGCAGTATACTTACTCTGGATTCCATCAAGTACGCCTAGATCCAGACAGCCGAAGGCTGTCAACACTTATCACCCCCTTTCTGTAAATTTATTTTCAATGGGCTATCGGAAGGAAGCAGATGATGCAAGTATCGAGGGCCTGCCTGTATGATGTGAAATTCCTCTTCGATGACATCCTTGTAGAGAGGTAACGAGAGGTTACGTGCTTTTCTGGATCGCCTCGAGCAATAAGGGATAACCCTGAACCTAGTATACTGTCTGGTCTCAGTTTCCAGGTTTGAGTTCCAGTGGAAGATTATTGATGGACAAGGGTTATACAAAGAACCTTCCAAAGTTTTAGTTAACGTCAACTTTCCAGAACCACATGATGTCAAGGAACTGCGGTGATTCCGCCGCACGGTATGCAAGGAACAAAATACATGAAGTTATCGGTTAGAAAGTGTAGCCTTATTACGACTTACCAAAATAAAAACTAAAACAAAAAAGGAAAGTAAACGAGGACATACTCACCAAGTACGCCACTTGAATCACAAAATTAAAACGTCCGATAAAAACCTGTATGAGTTTAACTATCTGAAGCGCGACCGTCGTGCAAGTATAACTGTATATTTATTTTGTCTTGACTCCAAGGTATGACTATTTCTTCCCTTCGTTGTACTTAAGTTCTTTCAATTGAAGAAGTTTGATTCACAAGGGATTTTTCTCTCAAAAGAAGCTTTGAAGCACATTTCTGTAAATTTAGCAGGACCAATGGGAAAAGTTTTGTTCAAAGAACTTCGCTGTCAAATGGCAAGCATTAAAAGGATATTCAATGTTTATGTCAAAGGGTTAATTTGACTTCTTTCCTTCCGAAGAACATTCATGTTCTGTATCCTCAGAGCTAACTGAGTAGCTATTAACTGCTACTTAATACATCTTAAAGTTCGGTTCATGAGAACCAACTGGGAGAGCAGAGCTGAGGGTGGGTCCAAGGATGCACTTGACCCCCTCCATGAAGCTCTAAAGGCAAAATATAACAATTAGCACTTCCCCCTGCCACAGAAAATTGATCATATTCAATAAAACTTTTTCTGAGTTTGTGAACACAATAGGCAAGGAAAAACTAACTACAAGCACAACTTTGCCTTTCTTGGACCTTTAAGATAAACATTCTTGATCATTCATTTCCTTTTTTCATCTTATTTAGTAAATAAACCCTTCAGGCGGCTGGTATGTCAGGTGGTGTCCGAGGTGAGACATTGTCCGAGAAGTGAATGCATGTCCGAGAAACAAAGCTTTGAGGGCAAATGTAATATGGGATATTATCAACCGACATACCAGCTAGCCAGAAGGGGGTTTAACTTTTTTTTTATAACCCTCCCGTTCATTTTCGTATCGCGCGTTGACAAAAAATTTTTTTGACTTTTTTGTATATCCTGGAGCAGCATTTGTGGTCAGCTTTTTAATGCCAATATCACTTGACTCTACAAAAATAAAGCAAATAAGGCCTTGACTGTACTCTTTTCTGTTGTAACGCATGGAGGAAGAAGCTAGAGCACGAAAAAAGTGTATGGGGAAACACGAGACGTAGTCGAAAGTTTTTCCCCCTTCTCCTTGAGTGCTCTAACCGCTTCCTGCGTACTTTACAACAGAGCAGAGAACAGTCAAGGCTTTTTCACTTGTTCTATAATAAATAATCCGTCAAACTCCCCACGCATTACTTACCACTTTCAAAATAAATTTCAATTATATATATGTATGAATTTTTAAGTGTGAATTTTAACATTTATGCCAGTTTGGTTACAGTTTCATCATTCCTATTATTATTTTGAACGCGAAACTTTATATGCCATACGGTGGTTAGCTGTGTTTAATTTTGTAACCGTTCCTAAATTTCCAATCTAACAGAGCGTGAAAACCTTCTAAACTCGGACAGTCCATTTCGTTTTCTCTTTTAGGATTCTCGTCTCTGTTCACGTTATAGTAACGTAAATTACGGCGTTTGGCATGTTTAGAAAACTTGGTTTGGTTTTTCTGTTGCTACTTCCTGGCTCGCTTGTTCCGAAAATGTCATTTTCAATTAATGAAAAAAAGCTAGAGAGAAGTTTGGAAAATGGTCGGACATAGTACAATTTGGCAGATGGCGTGACAGCTTTAACTCAGCTCCGTGTTTTGTACTCTAATAAAACACGCTCTTTTAACCCATGATAGCGCGCGTTGTATCCGACCTTCGTAATAAAAAGTAATATAGAGGATAAAGTAAAGTTCTGGGGGTGACTTTTTGTTCCGTTGGCTTTCACTGTAAAAAATGCCGTTACTTATTCAGTAGCAGTGTAGTAAACCTAAGCTAGGTTTGTTGGCAGTCGGCCGAAGCTGCTTTTGTTGTAATATGTGTACATATGGTTGAAGCTCAGTCTATCCTGAGCTTTATTTCTGTAGTTATCTTAGGTCCAGTCTTCAACCTCCTAAGGAAGGAGGGCTCATTTTCCAAATAACAGCGGAGGTGATAATGCCCGAGTCTATCCTTAAGTGTCCATGAGCAAACTTCTTCGCTCATCTTCTCGCGTTCCTATTTGTTGGAGCTCAAACCCATTATCAGCTTTTCTAGAAACGGAAGGATTCTTGGTAGTTTGAGCATTTGGCACAGGAGGCTCATCCTTGTTAGTGATGGGCCCTGAGGCCGAGATAGTGGAAGAGGCAGGATTTAAAGGTTCACCTTGGTTGGAGGTTAGTGACTTATTAAACTTTAGTATCTTGGGAATCAAGCCCGGCAGTGATAATATACAACAGGACTACCTTTATAATGTCATTTGCTGTTTCCCTTCCATAAAATGAGCGCCCTGCTAATGGCTGTTTATCGATGCAATGGCTGATAACATCTGTGTAGTTGGCATATTCCACAATACCAAAAATGCAGGATTTGATAAGAAAGAGAACAGTAAACTTCAATAAACTTACACTTCTGACCTCAAACAATGAAAATATTGAGACTTATTAGAGACCCTCATTGGCAAAAAAAAACCAAAACAAAAACATACATACATACATGCATATACATATATACATACATACATATATATATATATAAATGTTTTGTGGAAAACACACATTCTAAATCTTGTACCAAAAATAAACCCTCTGGGCAGTAAAGATAAAAAATATTGATTTAACAAAACAATTAATAGTGGAAACAAAATGTATTTTCTATAGGAGTTTATTACGGAACGTCAGTGCTCACATTTTTGTTTTTCTATCTCACCTTCGTGTGCATTACTGTTACGTAATACCTGTCAAGTATGCATGATTTCTGTACCACATGGGAGTAAGGTGTCATAGCATGTACTGCTATATAGTCCAGTAGCCGTATGCTTATTTCACTTCTCGCGTCACCAATATAGCTTTGCTGTATTCTGCTTTCGTCCAGTTCGTTTTTTGTAAGCTATGCCTGGAAGCGGACCGGACGATCTTCACGAAGAACCTGATATTCCCAACAATCCGCCAACAGATCCTCCCACATCGCAAGGGGTTGATGAAGTGTTCTCTCTCTTCAAGACATATCTTGAAAATCGTTTGGAACAGAAGGGCAAAGAGCTCGAAGAAAAACAAAAAATCGATTTGCAGGCAGAGAAGTTCAAATTCAAAAGTAACCAAAAGCAGTTCGTATTCAACGCCGAGCTTGAAGAATTAGTAGGAAAAATCAAAGAAGCAAACGCCCAGAAGGATCACAAGAAGGTGGCTCACTTAACGGATCAAGCCAAAGCTCTGTTGCACAAGAGACAGAAGCTTATCAAACTCGCAGACTCGAGTGAAGCCGGCTGGGACGCAGTTCAAGAATACGAATCCCAAGATATCGCCTCGGACGATGAGGACGACAAGAAAATTCGCAATGCTAGAGCCGCAGCTAATAGGAAAAGGAAACAGAAAGAAAGAGAACGACAGCAGCAGAGCAATAAGAAGCGTTGTACAACTCCCAACCTGGGCACGCAGGATCATCATCTTTTTCGTGGTATTTGTATCGCTATTGTTTTTACTTTATATTCTTCCTGTTATTCACTCAGATGCTTTGTTATTTTCTCGTGTTATATATATTGGCTCTCCGTGAGTTACCAACCCATTTGACTGTGGTTGTCGTGTTGTGCAAGTTCCTATAACGGTTTAGAAAATAATTTTCATGTGTGCGAACGCAGTGAGTTAAAATGAAAATGTATTTTCTATAGGAGTTTATTACGGAACGTCAGTGCTCACACTTTGTTTTTCTATCTCACCTTCGTGTGCATTACTGTTACGTAATACCTGTCAAGTATGCATGATTTCTGTACCACATGGGAGTAAGGTGTCATAGCATGTACTGCTATATAGTCCAGTAGCCGTATGCTTATTTCACTTCTCGCGTCACCAATATAGCTTTGCTGTACTCTGCTTTCCCGCCCACCCGCCCCTCCTTTTCTTTTGTGTTAATGACCAAGTTTTGCTCTTTGGTTGTTATTTGTCGTTACTTAACTATTCATATTTTCGTCCCATCTTGACACCCGCAGGCCGTCCAAGCTCTTATGCACATGGGGATTGCTTCAGGTGCGGAAGGCCAGGTCACTGGGCCAAAGATTGCAGGGCCTCTAGCTTCTATCCCCGCCCTTTCGGCCAGTACAAGCCAACCGCCTTTGCCCCAGCCTCCACCACCACAAACGCTTCAGGAACCGGACTTAAGGGAATCGGACATTCATGAGGAATTCGACAAGTTTACGGATGTACTTCAGGTACTGAATCGTTTTGAAATTGACGAAGATCTAGGACGGAATTACAATGTAAAGGGCAATTTAAAGAAAAATTTAGAATTTTGGGTATTTTTAGGTGCTTCATCCTTCATATTAAACGTAATTAAATTTGGTTATCGTTTGCCTTTCTGGGATGTGCCGCCTGCATATTATTCAAAGAACAACGCTTCTGCCCTGAAAAATATTGATTTCGTAGAGAATTCTATCACTGAGCTACTGGAGTCCGAACGCATAAAGCAATTGTCTTACAAACCCCATGTCGTCAATCCATTGTCGGTTTCCGTTCAGCCTAATGGAAAGAAAAGGTTAATTCTTGATTTAAGATATGTTAATCATTTCATTAAGAAACTGAGGATTAAGTACGATGATTGGAAAATTGCTTCTCTTATGTTTCGCAAGAATGGTTATATGTTTTCTTTTGATCTTAAGAGTGGCTATCATCACGTCGAGATCTTCCAACCACATCAAACATTCTTAGGTTTTTCATGGGATTTTCAAGGGGAGACGCGGTTTTACGTTTTCACAGTTCTTCCTTTTGGCCTTTCTGTAGCTCCTTATATCTTTACAAAGATACTCCGCCCTTTGGTTGGATGGTGGAGGGCTAACGGTATTTACATCGCGGTATTTTTAGATGATGGTTGGTCCATAGCTGACGACTATAATTCGGCAAATATTATAGCTAGTAGGGTTCGTTCCGACATACGTTTAGCCGGATTTATAACAAATAGCGAAAAGTCAATTTGGGAACCAACGCAAATTATTACTTGGTTAGGATTGGTCTGGAACTCCACTCTTGGTACTATTAGTATTACACCCAGGAGGGTCCAAGGTATCGTTGATTGTGTGGCTTTTATTGAAGCTCAAAAATGCACAATTGCGGCTAGACAATTGTCATCATTTGTCGGGAAAGTTATGTCTACATGTCCGGTTACTGGAAATTTACCCAGAATTACTACCAGACACTGTCAGATGACAATTGCTATTGCTGAGCATTGGGATACACCTATGATTTTAGACGAGTATTGTAAGGATGAAATCGTTTTCTGGAAGAACAATATCCATCTACGCAATTTTAAAAATTGCTTTGTTTTCCGCAAACCTCAGAAAGTAACTTTTTCAGATGCTAGTAATATTGCCTGCGGAGCTGTTTCTTATATCAATGACGGCGAGCATGTTTGCCACAAAATGTGGACGCAGGACGAAAGGAGTAGAAGTTCTACGTGGCGAGAATTAAGTGCAATTGAATTCTCACTTCTGTCTTGCCTTCCGATTTTAAGTTCATCACATATTAAGTGGTATACCGATAACCAGGCCACTGCCAAAATCGTTGAGGTCGGTAGCATGAAACTCGAGTTACACACGATTGCCTTAAGAATATTCAAGATATGTTACGAACACAGCATTCATTTGGATATTGAATGGGTTCCTAGAGATCGCAATACCAGGGCAGATTTTATTAGCAAACTGGTGGATTTTGACGATTGGCAGGTCACTGAGGACGTCTTCAAAGACTTGGATAGTCTTTGGGGTCCCCACACGGTGGATTGTTTTGCCACGTATTACAACAGAAAAATCACCAGATATTTTTCTAGATTTTGGAACCCGGAAACGTCGGGCATTGACGCATTTATGCAGTCGTGGGAAGTTGAGAACTGCTGGTTAGTTCCGCCAGTTTATCTTATTCCCAGAACGCTTGCCTATATATATAGTCAAGGAGCCAAGGGCACCCTTATTGTTCCACTGTGGAAGTCAGCCGTGTTTTGGCCCCTGTTAACCAATATTTATTGCAGTTTCATCCAGGATTTAAGAGTTTTGTCTATGCCTCAAGCTTTGACGCACGGGCGAAATCACAATTCTATTCTGGGTTCGCCAACTACTCCGGGATATGTAGTGGCTTTAAGATTGAATTTCGTTCCTTCGGGGTAAGAATCTGAAAGGTTGGCCTTTCGGCCACAATCTAGCGAGTGGAATTTGTGCTGACTACGAATAGCACCTTGGCAGTGTTGCGTTATTTATTTCACTTTGATCATTTTATATGAGGTAGATGTGCTGACAACGAATAGCACCTTACCAGTGTTGAGGTATTTATTTCTTTTCGGCCAGTGTCAATGTGCAGAAGTTGTGTCGACAACGAATAGCACTCCAATAGTGCTGTGTTATTTATTGCCCTTTTTTGATCTTCATTTAATGAATGTAGTGGTGTTGAGAACTAATAGCACCCGGGTTGTAGTACTTATTCCCTTTTAGCCATGAATCAGTGAGTAAGATTGTTCCACCTCTACACCCCTCTGTTATGTGTTTTTTCCTTTTGTTTTCCTCAACAGGCCATCTCTGCTCAGTCCTGTTGGGCAAGTCTCTATGGATCTTTAGCTCCCTTCAAGCTGCGCCTCATTACTGATCAGTTTAAGGCCAGACAACCTTCGACGATGAATAGATATTTACTTGAGTGTCAAAAATTTATGCGTTGGTGCAATGATGTTAAGGCTCAATTCGTTTTGCCACAAGAGCCTGTTGTTGTAGCGGCCTATTTGTCTCAACTTCACAGGAAGACTGGTTCTCCCAGCACTGTTAGTATGGCTTATGCTGCATTAGTTTGGCTACACGATGTAGTAGACGTAACTTGTAGTAATAATCCTTTGAAAACCGGAGTGTGTAGAAATGTTGTTGAAGCTGCGAAACGTAATGGCACACAACGGAAGAATAGGAAGCTCCCTCTCTCTATTGATATGGTCAAGAGAATAGTTGCTAAACATGGCAAGGTAGACGCTAATCTAAAAGATCTGCGAATTTCAGTCATAGTCCTCTTAGGTTTCGCAGGTTTCTTCAGATTCAATGAGTTAGCAAATATCAAAGCTTCGCATATAACTTTCGCAGATGACCATATGTCCATTGTTATACCAAGTAGTAAAACAGATGTCTACAGGGAAGGTAATAAAGCTATTATTGCTAGAACGGACAATGCCACTTGTCCAGTTCATATGGTCCTTAGGTATATGTCTGCTGCAAGAATGGACCATAATGCAGACGGTCTCCTAATCAGGCAGTTAGTATTTCAGAAAAATTATAATACTTATGTTTTAGGGAACAAAGGAATTTCGTATTCTAGGTGTCGAGAAATCTTTTTGGAAGCTCTCAAGGCTCTAGGTTACGACTCCAAACTTTTTGGGTTACACAGTCTTAGGTCCGGTGGGGCAACCGCTGCCGTAAATTCACCTAGCGGCCCTGTATCAGACAGGTTATTAAAATTACACGGGCGGTGGAAATCCGATTACGCCAAAGACTTGTATATTCAAGAAGATATATCTGCACGGCTTTCAGTTTCATCTAGCCTAGGTATTTAATTGCTATCATTAAGTTTCCACGCGTGATGGGACACGCGAACGTTTTTGCTATCTTTTAGTTACAGCCTAGTTTTGTATGATTATAATCAGTGCTTTCACTATAATTTAACCGTATCATATGTATTGTGCAATGTACTAGCTTAATGAGGATATAGCTTCGCGTATCGTATTTCTGTGGGACAAAAAGCAATGTGACCGTTTATACACATAGTGCTCGAATACAGTAATAAAGCTTATATTGGCTCTCCGTGAGTTACCAACCCATTTGACTGTGGTTGTCGTGTTGTGCAAGTTCCTATAACGGTTTAGAAAATAATTTTCATGTGTGCGAACGCAGTGAGTTAAAATGAAAATCATTCGTATGCTGAAAGGAGTACTGTGGAAGTAAGTAAGTTATGCTTATCGCATACTTCTACCGCTGGAACGTTCCCTACATTCAATGCTTCAGCACTACTTAGCCACGAACCAGTGTTATGAACGAATCATTTTGATTGATAGTGAAAATTCTCTAATCTCATTCATTAGATCAGATGGCAGCTTACCTTGACACTGCCTCAGAAGTCACCCATAAAATTCTTAGAGGATTTAGCAGTAATTTGGCGCCGATTGCACCACGTGATGCGAGGTTACAAAGTGAAATCCAGTCAGATATCTCCAAGAAGATGAGGAAGGCGACGTTCCATACTCTCACTGAGATTACTGGATCAGCAAGTAACTGCAAGCAAGGCAAACCTACAGGTGGCTGAACCCAAAAAATTCCATTTACAACCAAATATTTGGCTGAAAAGCGAGGTTTGAGCTTATCAACGAAGGAACAATTCTAGGAATTTTCCGTTTTGGTGTGCTTACGGCCCGAGTGGGCCTTCTTTTCTTAATTTTTATTTGACTATCAGAAACAAGTCCCAGAGCTCTGTTTACAGCTGAGAATGTAGATCGAATCGGGTTGCACCAGTTCATCCTTTCGATCGGCTTCTCGGCCCGAATTGTCAAAGTAATCAACTTTGTCATTGTTCGAATATAATCCGAATCTTCCGTACTTCTTAACTTTCCTTGTTGTAAGTTTACTAGTCATGACCGTATATCCATGTTTTTCTTATGCTCTACAGTATTTAGATTTTAACCAAAGTCCCCTCTCTTTGCTGGTGTTTGAGAAAATACTGTAGACTATACTAGCTTAATTACTGAGAACAGTAGCCATATACTGGTCTATTCTATCAGTCCAGCCTACCTACGAACCGTTCCCAGCCAAAAGTTTTAGCCGAATGATATCTGATCCACGTTATTTTATAAATCTACGAATCCACACAAATCTTAATTCCTAAACCGATAAATTACTTGATGCCCGGTAGTCAGAATTTTTCCAGGAAACGTTCTTTCAAACTTCTTAAGAATATCAGATGTTTGTTTAGAAATGTCAAGCGATTTAAAAAGACTAAGTTGATTTTTTAGTGGACAAATTCTCTGAGCGGGAGCATACTTTAATATCGCTCGATTGTCGTCACTTAGAAATTGTCAGTCTCTGATTAGACTGCCGGGCATGGTCTTGAATGGACTAAATACCTTGCAGTTAGAAATTTTTACCAAAGTGCCAATGAAGGTTCCTTGAAACTTCTCAAGAGTATCAGATTTTGGTATAGAAATGTATTTGCCAGGATTGATACTTAATGGTAACCTGTTATAGATGAGGTTTTTGAAAGTTAACCTGCCTAAGAGTCAAAGTGAAAAATGCCTGAGTAATGTTCCAATGCTGGCATGATAAGCAAGAATGATTTGACTTTTTCTTGGACAGCTAACTTAAAGATATTAACTTTTAAACAGAAAAATGCATTCCATGTAAAGCCGTCATTGTTATAGTATGCTTGTTGGGGCATTTGTGAAAAAAATGTGATAACTGCAAGAGTTGCATTTGTTTAGCATGTAACATAGCCTGAAGGTGTGGCTTATGAGATTTTATAACTTTTTATTATCCTCTATCCATGCACAGTTTAACCTATTCCAAAGCCCTGACAGGCCTTGTGAGCCAGATATCATCCGAATATTTATTGTGCATTCAACCTAGTTGCTTGTAAAATTATGTGTGGTTAAAGGCTAAGTTTGTATAAATTTTCTGCTTTAAGTGCACTTTGGTTCCAGAGTGTTTCCTTTCCTCTTAATTTTTAATTGAATAACAGACAAAAGTCCCAGTGCTTTGTGATGATATTAGTGTTCCGTTCATAGCTGACAATTTGTATTAAATTGGGATATACCAATCCATCAATTCGAGCGACTTTTTTACTCGCGTGATTCATCATCTTTCGAATCCACATTCTCTTCACTTGAAAAAATCACTGAAATCACTGTTTTCTACCCTCATCATGTTCAAGCCGTGAGCTTGTTAGCAGTGCCGTACATTTATTAATAAGATCACTTTGATTGTGTTCAGCTGGTACGGGAGGAGATGAAGTTGATTCACGAATTCACAAACCAGGTAAGGAATCCAAATTTTGATTTAAGTTACTTAAAAGTTATGTCACTCTCAAACCAGAGAACCCTTATTAGAATGGTCTCTGGTGGTTTAGCCGGTTGAAGAACCGCATTGCGTCAATGAAGAAAATGGCACAATCATCTTCTTCAACCAAAAACTCCCGGAGGTTGATGTGGAAATTTATCTTTCAAACAAAAGATATTTTTAATAATAAGGAGCTGAGTGTTTTACTTACCAGCTGAAACAATGCAGGAATCTTATCAGAAATGTTAAATTATCCACCCTAACACAAAATTAAAATTTAAGGAGCATTAGCCCTACTTCTTACTCCTGTGCCATTTACAATAACCCCTCCGTACAGTTGGCGAAACAGATGATCATTTCTGAATCATACTACATAGCTTTAAGCTTCCCTCTAGAAACCCTTCAAATTGTCACTGTGCAAACTAAAATTTCAGGTTATTAAGCACTGCAGTTATAAGGCAGAAAGGACAGAGGTGAACACGAACTCCAGTGCCTGATGAATATTCAAATTACAAAATTATTAATCTGTCTCTATAAAGTGGTCCACCAACCATGGAAAGAACCATTCCATGTTGATTCAACTGCATGGAACTTCAGCTGTAACTTTATAACTCAATTCTGAAAGAGTCAACATCTTGATTTGTTCTTGCAAAAACTACAACATGTAAGATGCAAGAGGTAGTAATACTCTTCCCAGGATCCATAATTTATGTTTGTAGATGAGGTTTTTGAAAACCTTCACTTCATTAGCAAAGAAGGATAATACAGTGTTGTATAACTTGAATAACTAATCATGAGTTATTGATTTTTAACAGAAAGAAGCATTCCACCAGATGGTGACAACAAACAAAATCCCACAGGTAAGAAAGTTTTAGAAAGTTCTATTCATGTTCACTTTATAATAAGTAACTTTTTGTTTGTCTGTTTATTTTGGAAAGCTTTGTTAAAAGATACATACAACTCTCTTTGTGACTGTCAGCTTGCTGGGGCTTTTGAAGGAAAAAAAACTGCTAGCGTTACAATGGCTTTGGCAGACATCATAGTCTGAGGGAGTGGCTTATAAGGTTTAATTATGCTATAGCCTGACAAGCCCTGATAGTATTGTTCATTTGTGCGTCATAGTTATCTTTTTTTTTATGGATGTTGCTGTTGTTGTTTTACTTTTTGTTCTTGATTTACAATTTTTCCATGAACTCATAAAAAAGAACTGAAATGATTGGACAGGGTATCCACTGAGGCATCTAAAAGTCTGTCTAGATGTGAAAAATAAGACTACATCTGCACACATTGACCACTCTACTATGCTTTTATAGCACCATGAATTAGGTATTCAATGGTAAAATTTCTTAGCAAATGGGTTCCTACAGCAGCCACAGCAGCACTATTCAATGAAGAGATTGTAGCTCTGAGTTAGACTTTGCTACTCTAACGATTAAAGCTATAGTCTCCGTGGATCAAGAACATCTGTTGCTCGAGTACTGGCAAATACCATCGGTCAACATATTGACCGAGTGTCTGTCGATATATCAGCGGATGCCAGACCAACAAATCGACCATATATTGGCCAACATGTCTACCAACATAGGTCACCACTTGACTGACAGGTATGTCAGACGATACTTGGTTAACACTTGACTGATACTTAAGCGACACTTGGCTGATACTTTACTAATACTCAGACAACACTACTGTTTTTTTGGTGGGTTCTTGTTAATGAGCTCTTTCCTCTCTACTCAAATATTAACTTTCTTTCTCTAACCCTTTGAAACTCTTCTTTTGTGTCCCCTGTGGATAAGGCAAAGGAACTAGGAGAGGGCTGCCTTTCCAGCAAAACAATGGTTATCTATACACATATACCACCGACAGTCCTCCAATAGGCTGCCATCTAACAAACGCAATGTAATGGTTGAGGTTTCAGCCGAGTGTCAACCAACATATTGACCAAGTATCAGCCGATAGTGGTGACTGATAGTCTGCCAACTTGAATGACATGGCAACTGGCAGTGGGCCAACTAGCGGTTGACATGTGGACTTAGCATAAACCACCCCTCAATAGGCATGTCGACGGATAGTATTGGTCGATACTTGGCCAACTAATGATATGAGTACAAGTGAACTGTCTCTCACCCCCTCTACCCCAATTTTAACAAAGTTATCATCGTGTATTATGTCATTCTTTTCTTTTTAGATTATAAAACTTATTTAAAGAAACTCCGGGACGTATCTGAAGTTGGACTTGATGACCTATGTAATAAGGCAAACCAGTTACGACCTGATATTCCTCCTTTGACTATGAGGAAAAAAGGGAATTTTGTCCCAGATATTGATGAAAAGTCTCAGAAACTTATACCAACTGGCAAATTGAATGGTGAATATGTTTCCCTTCGCACCAATGGGGATGGAAATTGTTTGTATCGAGCAGCATCAATATTAGCCCGTGGAGATGAAAGTAAACTTCTAGAAATGCAAGTGAGAACAGTGGCGGAGCTTGCGTGTAACAAATAACATTATTTAACTGTCCCTTATAATAAAGAAAGAATTCATGCTCAAAAACGATATATACAACGTAAATCAAGTCGCGAGGGAAGAGACGAGTGCTCTGGAGAATTGAACACATCGGATCTTGAAGCAGAATTTAAAGAAGTGGTACGTGACACTTGTAAAGAGTCCACCTGGGCGTTAGACTGGCATCTTCAGGCGCTGCCAACTGTCTTTCGGCGTCCGGTAAAGTTGTTTTTCCAGAAGTTATCAGAGTGCTCCAGGGGTGTT